CCCCAAAATTCAAACACCCAATCCAAAAATGGGCATCTGAGATGAATACACACTTCTCAGATGAAGAAATACAAATGGCAAATAAATACATGAAAAAATGTTCATCATCGTTAGTCACTAGGGAAATGCAAATTAAAACCACACTGAGATTCCATCTCACTCCTGAAAGGATGGCCAGGATCAAGAACACCAACAACAACAAATGCTGGAGAGGCTGTGGGCAAAAAGGAACTCTCCTGCACTGTTGGTGGGAATGTAGACTGGTGCAGCCTTTGTGGAGGTCAGTCTGGAGATTTCTCAAAAAACTGAGATTGGAAGTCCCATTTGTTCCAGCTATTCCACTTCTAGGCATATTGCCAGAAAAACTGAAAGCATCATACCACAGTGATATATGCGCGCCTATGTTTATAGCAGCACAATTTGTAATCACCAGATCTTGGAAACAACCCAAGTGTCCATCAACTGAGGAATGGATAAAAAAGTTGTGGTATTTCTATACAATGGAGTACTACTCAGCTATAAAGAAGGATCACATTGAGATATTTATCAATAAATGGGCGCAGCTTGAAACCATACTCATAAGTGAACTAAATCAAACTCACATCTGTGAACACCGAATAGTTTCCCTAGTGTAGAAAATGATTCAAATATATAAAAGTATGTGGGAACCATGATTCCCCATTATGTGGCCTTTAAGCCTTATAAAGTTTTCACTTATTAATTGGAATGGCTTTATTCTGGGCTTCTTGATATTATGGCCTGTGATGCAATGAACAGCTGTTTTGAAGAAAACAAGATATCATAATAGCTATTGCTGATTTAATACCATTTTGTTTTAAAGCCCCACCAAACTATGGCTCTTCTGTCTCCATTGGTTTTATCATGTTGTATCTTGCTGGATTTTATCATATGTGGTAGTATAAAAAAACTGTTATAGGCAAAGAGACAATATAGAAACCATTGTTCATTTTTCTGTTAGCTGGTTCTAAATACTCTACAATGCTTTCATCCACTTGAATGGTGTTACACTGTCTTGATATGTTTGATGCTATAGCATATGAAGTTATATTCAAATATTTCAAGGAAAAAGACACTATGGTAACTACTATTAAGTCGGGTTATTTGGTGGTGAAGCACTAGGTTGCTGAAACTGTCGTGCTTTGACCTATATTGTTATGTTGTTACGCCCTCTTTTATCTCAACCTCTCCCTTATTCATTAAAAAATTATTTAATTTTTTTATTTCTTTTTTAAACTAAGAGGAAAAATTTTTTAAAAACTAGCAGGATATATTATAGTAACTTTTTGATTTCCTATTAACTTGATTTGAAGTCCTATAATACTCCCACTATCTTGTTTTGACTGATTAGACTCTGTTCCACTCTGTATGACAGTATTAGGTATCAGAATATAGGCAACTACTTTGAAGGCAATAAGATTCACTTGATGCCCATTCTGGTTTGACTATTATCCTCTTTTGAAGTTCTGTAAGATTTACAATGTTTAGGTTTTATTGGACTTGTTCTCTACTGTTTTGTTCAACTTTATAATACCTAATGAGATAGACAATTCTTCTTAAGGAAGCAAAAGGCATTATGGTACCATTGTTGATAACCTTGTACTCTGTTTTTACATCATGTGCTATGTCTATCCTTGGTTTTGACTGACAGCTTTGTTTTATCATGTTTGATTTTATTCTCTTACAAAAAAAATAGTAAGATCTATGGGAGCAATAAAACCCAAATTTTGTTGTAATAAAGAGGGAAAAAAAAAGAGACTAAAATACAGTCACCTGAGCTCATCAGTTTAACAACTTATAAGTCACTTGATTTTTTTGTTGTTGTTGTTAATATTCATCAGAAACCAACTCTGGACCTCCTGGTGCATTCTATTGGCTTTGTATTCCTTTCCACATGGATCTACAGAGCACTGTCCAAATTAGTATTTGTGCTAGAGGAATCTGGATTAAGATTAGTAAAACTCTCTGCTATTAGGAGACACAGACTCTTCTTGAGGGTATTCTAAAAAATATTTAGAGACCTTTTTTTTAAGTGATGGTGATTCTAGGAAACAAACCCATGTCTCCAAGCACACTAGACAAGTGCTCTACCACTGAGCCCCAGGCTTGCAGCGATTTTTTTTTTTTTTAGTACTACTAGACACTGAACCCAGAGCTCCTCCCTTGATAGATGAATGCTCGAGAGCTGGGTTACAATCCCAGTTCTTCCACTAAAGCCTTTGGGGACATAGGCCTTCCTCCCTTAAGAAGTGACCTCAATCATGATCCACATGGTCATGGCCAAGGATAAATCATAGTTCCACAACCTCTTACCCTCTTGTTAGTTCTTGATGTGTGGAAAGCCAAAAAAATTCTCCTCTAGAGAATTCAGAAAAAAAAAGAAAAAGACCTAGAAGACAGTCTTTTTGTTGGCCATAACTCTGTGTAATATGTATACTTGCACAGTAAAGACTCACATCCCACTACATAGCCTGGCAACCAAAACAACCCAGACACATAGTTTTTCAGACAAAAGCTAAAGAAGGTGATACTACGCGGGCCGGTCTGCCAGAGCAGACCTTTCCGAAGCCTGCCACCATTGCCACCTTTGTACCCCTAAATGAGCTGGCCTCCAGCGGTTACTTGCAACCAAAGAATCCTTGTAAGTACAACCCAAGGTAGACCATAACACAAATTTGTCTGATACCCAGTAGCACTGGTGAAGTTCATGATGTTTAGAAGGTCAGGATTCCATTTGATTCACAATGGAGTAGCGAGAAGTTAGTCTTGGACTGGACATTCAGCTCAGCAGCTCAAACACTTGCCTGTTAAGTGCAAGGTTGTGGGTTTAATCCCCAATATCATTTAAAAAAAAGAAGAAGAAGGTGCTGGGGATTTAGCTCAGCAGCACAAGTGCCTGCAAGGTCGTGAGTTTGATCTCCAGTACCAAGAAAAAAAAGAAGTAAGTCTTGCTGTCAAAAGGGGGAGCTCTGAGTTCAGACTCCAGTTTTACTGGTTCTGCTGCCCTCACTAAATCCATTTAGCCCACGAAGCACAGCACCTAGTACAAAGCAAGTGCTGAACAATTTGTAAGAAGGAGAAAGAGCAGGCAGTTCTGACACTGGCTGTGTTTATCTCTTCAAGTAAATTTTCATTTAGAAAAAAAAAAGGAAAAAAATGTGCCTCCTGCATCTCACAGCATTAAAACACACAACTACAGTGTGATTCAAAGTAACAGGCGGGGTGTGGTGATGCACAGGAGGCTGAGGCAGGAGGATTGCCATGACATCAAGGCCAGCCTGGGCTACATATTGACTCCAGGCCAGCCTGAACTTCACAGAAAGATCCTGTCTCCAAATAATAATAACAACAACAACAATAATAATAACAGGTTCAGACTGATCAGCAGATCAAAAACAGACTCACTTGAATTAACTGAACAATATTTATTTATCTGAGCAGGTGTAGGCAAACTATAGTCCACAGCCAAATCTAACCCATCACCTGTTTTTGTAAGGCCCATAAGATAAGAACAGTTTTGCAAATGAGTATTTGCAATCAATTTAATTCTAGGGAACACTAACTTTGAACCCTCATTCAGCTAAATATCATCCCTCCCAAAATAAGAATCCCATTCTTCTGGTTAAGTGACCTATTGTGAAAAATCATACTTTTATTATTATTATTTTTATTATTTTTTTTCAGGATTTATAGGATAAAGGAAGTCATCAATTCAAACAGGGACAAGAAAATGATTATTATTTTTTTAGAGTGTAATTTTGCAGAACACAGGGACTTTTATAAATGTATATAAATATGATATAAAAGAAAAAAAGAAATAGTGTCCTAGTGTGTTAAGGTGATGTTAGATTTTGCTTCAAGCCCAGGATTAAAGATATGTGCCAGGCCTCAAATAGGCCAAGTACACATCATCAACCTCAGCGGGTCTGTGGTGTATGAACAGTGTCAAATACTCCTTTATCACCCTCAGCGCCCTCAGACTGATGCTTCCTGCTCCAGGTTCATTGTTGAACCTGAACTTGCAAAAATAAAAACAGTCAGTTGCACAGTTCATTAGAGCAACCATTAACTTTACCCACAAAACAAAATGAGGTAACATATGCATATGTTGCAAGTAAACTCCAAAAATAAGTATGATTACCAGATTACCATAGCAATTAATGATAATAAAACACTGAAATATCTGCTTTACAATCCACCTAGCAATAGGCATATCAAGAGGCATACAAGAATGAATTTTGTCCTAGAAGAATTTGAAAAGGAACACGAGGAAGGCCAGAAAAATAATATATATGAATGTCATGTATAGCACCATATAAAACAGGTGAAAGACAAAAACAAAAAGATCAACTTAAACAGGGTACAGAGGGCCTTAAAACTCCAGAGTGGTCTCCAAAATGCCTTCAAGGAAGCCTAAGTCCTCAACTGTGCAGTATAAAAACTGTAAGTATGGACACTTAAGATAAATATAGATATATATAATACTTCAGATTGCATTCTCCATCTTTTCCTCATCCAAAATATAGACATAATAGCTATTTCAAGGGTTTGTGAAAATCAAATGATAAAAAATGAAAAATTTGTATAAGTCAGTGGAATATCATCAGTGCTCAATAAATACTAGCTATTACTACAATTTTTATTAAATAGTTGTCATTATCTTATAAATACCGTAAATATTCTTATTATTTCTCTTAACTATATAATAATTAAGACTATAAGTATTTTCCATAACATCAGATATTCTTCACTGGCGTATTTTGCTTGTAATGTGCCTGAATTAGTACTTTAGTTTTACTTCAATTAGGATTTCTGAAACAATCATGAAAGTAATTATTTTTTGTTACACTTGTTTATAAACAGCATTTTTTCTCATTATGCATGCTAATGACTTTTTCTTTCATTTCGTTTTATTCAGTACCCTACTAAACTCCCCATGATTTCTTAAAATGAATGTCGGTTCAATATGGAAAGAAGCTTACCTTCTGGGCTCCCTGTCTTAAGAAAGTGCTGGCAAAAGTTTCCAAAATATAGTTGAGAAATCCAGCCCCTGTGATTGAAATCCTGCCTCTTTGAATGAACTCTGTCCTAAAAGAAAATGAACACACAAAAATATATCTTTGATGTCATGCTATATTTGGATATGTAAACTTCAGACATTTCCAGCAGCATAATTACCACTTATAATCAACACACACAAAAAAAAAAAAAAAACCCAAAAGAACTGAGTAACTGTTGCAGTAAAGGATTTTGTTCCAAACTGACTTACATCAGGTAAATAACAGAGACTCAATTTAAAAATATTCACTTTGCTATAAAATGCCTATTAAAAAACTGAGTCTCAGACAATTATCAGCCGCATGACTGTGGGTAAATTATTCAAACTCTCTGTAACTCAGTTTTCTCACAGGCAAAATGAGGACAATCATAGTACCTTCCTTTTACAGCTGTTCAGACAAGTGAACTAGTACATATATCACAGACAGGAAGAGTGACTGACAAATATAAGCGCTTACTAAATGTTAGCCACAGGTTCCAAAGAGAGACAGATAAAGACAGACTACAAAGCCAGGAGTCCAGAAGGGCTTCTTTAACCCTCAACTAGAGGGGGGCAGGTGAGAGAATAGATCCACTGCTGTCTCTACTGATTTTAATTATCAAAGTTCTACCAATATGATCTCATAAAACGTGACTGACCTAAGTAAGATGGCTCAATAGGAAACCACAAGCCCTCATTCCCCATAGAAATGCTGACTTAAAATATGTGAACCCAATTGTTTCCGTGAGAACTCCAGAAACCAATGAACTGGAGGCTGCACACCACGCAAGTGTAAAGCCAAGAAGAGATACATCAGAGCAGACGAGAAAGTCCACTGCATTTATCTGACAGCCCCCTCCCACCCAGCAAAGCACAATCAGAACAAAGCTGCCAATCCTTGGTTTCTGCCTCTGGAGAAAAAGGGAAGAGCTAGACATTTTTCTCACACCCTGGTACTGCAAGGCGATGCTAAGGGGTGACTCAGGACACTGAAGGGAGCAGCAGTACACTTTGGATGCCACGGAAATCAAAAACAAACCTGGCCACCTGTGACAGCACTTGAAAGGCTGCAGTGCCACAGACAGATGCAAAGGGAACAAGCAATCATGGGCTTTTGGAAGTAGGGGCAGACCCTATAGCTGGGAAATTACATACAAAATCCAGAAAAAGCTTATTCTCTCAAAAGGTTAGTGACGTTTCCAGACTCCCCGGCAAGGCTGATTCTCGTGTACAGAGACAATCTACAAAGTCTGGGAGACGTCGCTATTATTTTTATATGATCAAATCTCAACAAAACATCATAAAGTATTCCATGAAGCAAGGAAACATGGCCTAATCAAAGAACCAAATAATTTTTAGATTCCAGTCTGGAAAGTGATCCTAACGAAATAGACACCTAAGAATTACCTCACAAATAATTTAAGTAATCATTTTAAGGAATGCTCAATGAGCTACAAGACAATACAGAGACATACCTAAATCAAACCAGGAAAATGATGCATGAACAAAATTGGAATATCAATAAAGAGAAATTTAAAAAATAAAAACTCCAGAGGTGAAGAATTTAAGAACTGAAAAACTGACTAGGAGTTTCAATAGCAAACTTGACCAAGCAGAAGAAAGTAATCAGCAAACATGAAGGTATGTCATTTGGAATTATTGAGTCAGTGGAGCAAAAAGAAAAAAGAATTAAGAAAAGTGACAAGAGGCTAAAGGATTTAGGGACTAGCACCAAGTGCATAAATGTATACACTATGGGGTCAGAAGGAGAAATGAGTAAGAACAGCAAAAAATAATAATAATAAGGGCCGAAAAATTTCCCAAATTTGAAAAGGAAAATGGGCCTACAACTTTAAAAGCACAACAAACTCCAGTGAGGATCTGTCCAGAAAGCTCCACACCAAGACACATTATAATCAAATTGTTGAAAGTAACAGAGATTACTGAAGCAGCTCCCCATATACAAGGGAGCTTCTGTAAAATTTTCAGTAGATTTTTCCAGCAGAAACTTTGCATACCAGAAGGGGAATAGGTTGTTACATTCAAAATGTTAAAAAGAAAAAATTACAAACCAAGAATCCAGTGAAACTATCTTTTAGAAGTGAAAAAGATACTGATTTTGTCAGATACAAAAGCTAAATGTACTCATCACCAGTAGTGATTTGGATTCAATTTGACTTTGCCTCATTCAGTCATTTCAACACACTGACTGCACGGCTACTGTACGCTAAGAACTATGCTGAGAGCTGGAAGACACAGGGAAAAGGATGATCTCTGTTCTCAAAGATACCCCTGTCTGGTGGCCAAGGAGGTAAGAGTTGGCAAACAGAGGCAAAGTATTCTACCAAAGAAAAACCACAAAGACTCAAGCCAGAAGTCATGAAACAAGAGAGATCATGTGAACATCTTTATGTCTGCAAATGGCTACTACAAGGTATAGATCTTGCTAAATCCTTCCCATAATCTTCCTAGGAATGTTTGTAGCAAAAGACAGGTGTTGCAGATGTTAAGAGATGAGACCAAAGGGATAAGAGGAGACCAGATTGCAAATGGCCTGCTTCCTTTTATGGAAATAGGACTTATCTTTTGTGTACACCATACCACAGGTTAGATTAACAATTATATGTCCACCAATGACTAAAAATCTTGCTTATTCTTACTGTTTTTAGGCAATCCCACTATTTTCAACACAGTGCTTACATTCAGTTCAATGAATATTTGTTAAATAAATTAACTGGTTAGTAATCAAAAACACTAAACAAAGAAAGTATCTTCCCTTCCTTCCTACATCCCTATAGGAAGAATACGGAACATATATCCCTGCATGTGTTTTTGCATGTATGGGGATGCATGCTTATGTAAGCACGTGCACTGACACACAAAAAGATATACAGAGAAACACCGGATCCAACAAGCTCTGACTGGAACTTCTAACAGCAGTCATCTCTAGAATTAGATCATGCACACAGTAAAAAGAAGCCTTCAAAACTCTCCATCTCCCTCTGGCTTTTCATCCCCCAACCCCTCCCTCTCTTTCTCTCTCTCTCTGTGTCTCTGTGTGTCTGTCTGTCTCTGTCTGTCGCTCTCTCTCACACACAGTTATCCCATCCAATCTGACATAAGTACCTTTAGTCTAAGCAGCTTCTTAGATTTAAGCCTATTTAAAATGATTTGCTCATGTAAAACTACATCAGAGTGACACTAATCTTTCCCGTCTTTATTCTGGATTAGACAGAGTAGAATTTAACAGTGATTTTAATATTTAAAAATGAAAAGTTGTGCAATCTCTCACTCTGGGGAGAGATGAACTCTTTAGACCTCGAGGCAAGTGTAAGTGAGGGATTAATAAAATTTGCTTTTACACCATATTCTTACTGATATTTCTTGCTGTCACTTTTGGGAGAAATGAGCCCTCGCAAAATCATTTTCAAGGTTTGTCCACGTATCAGAGGATAACATGGCAGTAAAACGGAGTCGTGCCCTTGTCATCAACAAGATGAAGAGTTTATTCTATTATATTTTAAGACTGTCAGACAAAAAAATGTTGCATTCTCCCTCAATAACTCATTGACAAAGCACACCACACATTTCCTTCTCACTACTCATGGCTAACCTAGATACCTCTCTCTAGGATTAGCCCCTCGAGCTCTGGTACAAAACACAGTGGGTTACATAACAACGGGCAGCCTAATTTCAGCTCTGTACAAATAAAGAGGGATGAACAGATGAAGGACAGAGCTGAAATGTTAAATAGAATCTGTGGGTATTCGAATTATAGGTGCCGTTTACATATTATGATCTTTTTAGTGGCTTACAAATTTTCTACAAAATGCATTATTCTGGTAATCACAGACAAATCATATGAAGGGCTTGTGTATCATTTTATATTCACACATTATTTTTCAAAAGACTCTGTGCTACCAAAGTACAAGAATCATTCCCAGCAAAGGTATGCACTGATTTTGGGTTGGGCTTAAATTTAAAAGTTCCCTAAATACCCCTTTGCTTTCCTTTCCCCACACTACGTAACCTCAGTTTGTCAGGCCTTCTGTCCTAAGGCTTTTTTCCCATGCACACTTGAAGTGTATGGTATCCCACTCAAGAGACCTAAAGATAATTCAGTTTCCCAACACCTGGCTCTCATGTCTGTCAACTCTAGGGAGACTACTGCAATGCATTTATGGCATTTTAACTGAGGATCATACTTACTCCTTATTGTAGTCAAGGGTTGTACACAGAGAACAATTAGTATCAAGGCATGGAGTTTATAATATTTTTATAATGGTCAGCACGAGTTAACACAGGAAAATGCAGGAAATCTATCCGCAACACCAAAGACATAGATTATTGAGTCAAGAGCCTAAACCCCACAGCAATGTCCCACATGAGTCCAGATAAAAACCCAGAGTTCAGGACAATGCCTCCATGAGTCCAACTGGAGGTCCAAGCCCACAACAAGGACTCACACCAGTCTCTTTTACGAATCTGTGCTGGGAAGACCCCAGGGTCAGCGGAAGCCAGAAAGTCTATCCAGCAGGATGAAGGAGCTGTGCTAGTGGGATGAGGGCTCTACGCTGGAGCCAAGAAGTCACACTCACAACAAAGACCAGGGCTGTCCTGAAAGGTACCACAGCTGTCCTCAGTGACACGGAGGCCCCGAGCTCCTCTGAAGAAACAGCATGATAAGTTCATCCTGGAGACCAAGCAGCACACATCTTCCCCTCCGGAGCCAGGAAGCAATGCTCGATGTGAGGACCAAAGCCAGGAGAACCAACAGCTCAGACAGCAACTCATAGGAGAACCCACAATGCCTCCTTTATGCCTCAACCCTCCACACCTCCCTTCTTCTCCACCTATTTATCCTGGCAACTTTCCTCAGGTGGAGCATCTTCACTCAATGTCATGCTGATGTAATCCAGCCGGCATTAAGCTGACCACCAGTTCTTAATCCATAACACTCCTGAAGAACGTGTATAGTCACAGTGTATTTTATACACTAGATAATATACTATCTTCAAGATTGTTATGTTTCAAAAGTTACTTCCCCCTT